GTCTAATTTAGCTTTATCCTGCTCTCATCTTTGCAGCACAAATATACAAAATAAGCTTGTAACTGTTTAAACATAACTGCTTTAGGGCCCATCTTTTTTCAGCTTGAAATTGACTGATAGAAGCTGGGCATAGTGGCTCGGGTGCTTGTAAAATCCAGTACTGAGGGGACAAGCACGAGGATTCTGGACCTTACGGCCAGCCTGGACTTTGTGAGGTACTGTCTCTTAAAGTAGTAATAGTAATAGGGTGCTAGGAGTGTCCGGGGCTGGAAAGATTGCTCAGAGGTTAAGAGCACTTAATGCTTCATCAGACGATCAGAGTTCAGGTTCCAGCACCCACATCGCATGGCTCCCAGATGCCTGTAACTCTGCCTCCAAGAGATCTGACACCACTACCACCCCTTTCTGGCATCAGTGGGCATGCATGCACACACACTGGGTTGGTTGGTTGGTTGGTTGGTTGGTTGGTTGGTTGGTTGGTTGGTTGGTTGGTTGGTTTTGTTTTTAAATCAACTTGACACATGCTGGAGTCATCTGAGAAGAGAGAATATCAACTGAGAATTAGAATTATCATATTAGCCTACATACAGAACTTTTTTTGACAGATGATTGATATAGAAGGGCCCAGCCCACTGTGGTTAGTACCGTCCCTGGGCAGGTAGTCCTGGGGTACATAAGGAAGTAAACTAGTATAGGGTATAGTGGTACACAGAGGCGAGTGGATCTCTTGAGTTTAAGACCAGCTTGCTCTACATAGCCAGCCTGGAAACCTAGTGAGACCCTGTCTCAAAAACCAAAATAAGAAAAAGAAAGGAAGAAAGTAAACAAGACAAGAAAAGCATTCCTCTGTGGTCTCTGCTTCAGTTCTTATGTCTAGGCTCTTGCCCTGACTTCTTTGAATGATGAACTGTAATAGGGATGTTGTAACCAAACAAAAACCATTTCCTCCCCAGGTTGCCTGTGGTCTTATCACAGCAATAAAGAGCAAGATAAAACATACACACAAGTAAAATCTTCAGAAGTCTCCAGTAACTTCTGAGTAGACCAGTGTCAGTTACCTTTAGAAGTTCTCCAGCAGGGCTAGAGAGATGGCTCAGAGGTTAAGAACACTGACTGTTCTTCCAAAGGCCCTGAGTTCAATTCCTAGCAACCACATGGTGGCTCACAACCATCTATAGTGAGATCTGTACCCTCTTCAGGTGTGTTGTATAAATAATAAATAAACAACAACAACAAAAGAAAGTTCTCCAGCTAGTCCATGTACCTGCACTCCTTTCCAGCATCTGTTTGCTCATTCTACCTGTCCAGAGAACTTCCCCCAAGTAAGTAGTGTAAGCACAAGTTTTGCAGTCACACAGATCCTGCCACATGTGATTTCCTTGTACTCATCTCCAGGGTTCCTCTCTTCCCTCCCTCCCTCCCCTTCTTCCTTTCCCCCCTTCTTCCTCTTGCTCCTCCTTCTCCATTGTTTTTGGCGTAGGCCCAGGCGTGTCTTGTGCCTTTAGAGGTCAGAGGACAACTTTCACAAACAGTGTTTCTTCTTCCACCATGTGAGTTCTGGGAATAGAAAAGGGTCCTCAGCCTTAGGAGCAGGTGCCTTATTATCAACTTCTCTGCCCTACCACCAAAGGGGGTGGGAGTTGTGGAGAAAGAAAGAAAATTTGATGCATAGAAAGTACTTGGGTGAAACAAATGCCTCTAGCCAATAACTTGGTAGCATACACCTGAGCACCGTTCTGAGGAGCATGTTGTTTCAGTTTGACTAGATGATAGAACTAGGACCAGAAGGCATCCTAGTGATGACTGGGAGAATTGAGCTCATCCCTGCCTTTTGATTCCACTCTTTGCCTTAGCAACAGTTGATTTGGAAGCTTCAGTTTTACTGAGAAATAGTTCTGTCTTCATTCTGACAGAGAAATTTGGTAGGACTGATGGAAGTGTTTTAATGCAGATGGTCATCACACTCCAGAACTGGCCTTTTAGGTGGCAGGGATGCTTAAAGGGAGAATGAGTGTTAGTTGACCCAAGGCTGCTCCAGTGTACATCCGCAGTTTCATGTCCATAGCGCTGTGAGTGGGGTGCTGTCGGGATAGAGACAGAGATGAGAGGGTACTTGACAGCATCAGTCACATTGAAAACCTCGAAATCTGCTTTTCTTTTGTGAGATAGTTAGGGCCTGGCCTCAAACTTGTTGTCTAGTCAGGAATGACCTTGAACTCTTGCTCCACCTCCAAGTGCTGTGATTGAAGGCATGCACCACCACACCCGGTTTTATGTGGATCTGGGCATCAAACCCATAATGTTAAGCATGCCAGGCAGGTATCCTGTCAATTGAGCCGCATCACCGGCAGGAAAATTGCATTGGGGTATTTGGGGCTGAGTCTCACCATGTATTTTTAGCTAACCTTGGACTCACTGTGTAACCAGGCTGGCCTTGAACTCAGGGAGCTGCCTGCCCTTACTTCCTGCCTTTTGGAACAAAAGGCTTATACCAGGCTCTATTTCATTTTATTTTATTTTATTTTACATTCTTTGACATTTTCTTTTCGTGTCTTTTTTTGAGACAAGTTTTCTCTAGCCGTTGCTGTTTTAGACTCTGCATGCAGACCAAACTGGCCTCAAATTCACAGAGATCTACCTGCTTCTGCCTCCCAAGTACTAGTATTAAAGGTGTGGGCTACCACTCCAGGCTCTGGACAGTTTCATGCATGTATATACAATGTATCTTGATCATATCTACCTTCTCCAACCCATGCCACCCACTTAGCCTTCCTGTCTTTTTTTTTTTTTTTTTTTTTTAACTTTAGTTTGTTGTTGTTGTTTGGTTGGTTTTGGTTGGTTTTGACTTTTCAAGACGGGGTTTCTCTGTGTAGCCTTGGCTGTCCTGGACTCACTTTGTAGACCAGACTGGCCTCAAACTCAAACCTGCCTCTGCCTCCAGAGTGCTGGGATTAAAGGCGTGTGCCACCACACTAAGCTGTCTTTTTTTTTTTTTTAATTAATTTATTTTTTTCATATACAGGGTATAATTGGCATTACCTTCATGCATGTGGGCAACATACCAGCATCCACATGCCAGAAGGAAAATGACTCCCCCTGAGAAGCCATCAGTTGTCAATGGCTCCACAGAAGATGGAGCCTTAGGAGCCCTTCCTTCATTCACTCATGCTGGAATTTTCACCAGGTTTACTGTATCAGAACTCCCTCCTTCGGAGCAGGCCTCAGAGCCAATCAGAAAGCAGCTGGTTACCCCCATAGCCGTCATGCCACTGTTGCACTGGCTGGGACGTAGTGCCTGCCTGGCAGTAAAGCGTAAATTCATTATGTTGAGCTTTGTGCAAGTGTATGTTGCAGGCATGCATCACACACTGCTGGGCAGCCTATAGATTTGTCCAGAGAGAAAGAGCAGAAGCCATCAGTTGGCTTTCCCCAAAGCCAGTGCGTACTTACCTCAAGAGCTATGGCTTGTATTTGGCAGGGCCGAGCCACTAGAATATGTGGACCTCCACATTGAGTCACTTAGCAGGCTTATGGTTGGGCTCTCTTTGCCTCTTGATTTATTTCCAGTTAGCAGCCCAGTGTACTTTTCAATTTGACTCTACCCTCTCTAATCCCAAAACATACTCCCACTCCTCTACGTTTGCACAGGAAGTTATTAAAGAATCTCAGACTAAACGGGAAGGAACATGCTCCCTTATAAAGAGCACTAAAATGAATGAAAATGAAAAGGGTTGACCTGTGACCTGGCAGTTGGATGTCTTCTGCAGGTTTTATGGAAAGATCTCTGAATAAGTTTATGGCCCATACACATTGTTGAGGGGAGGCACCTGCCCTGCTGCATTGGGCTGAGCCACTTGGAAATGAAACCTGATTGCTACAGACACGCCACTCCAATTTACTGGACCCTGTCCTGTTGCCCTCTTCTTTTAGTAGATAATATAACAAAGGTAGACATTCTGAGCCTGGTTCCTTGGCTTTGGGGAATTTCCATTGGTATGAAACATGTTTTGTCTTCCCACATGAGCTTCAAAATAAAAGTACTAAAATTTAAGATTGGGTGGGCACAGTTTGAGTGATTTTGAGGCATTCTGTCTCAGCTGTAGGGTGTGAGTTTTAGTGATCAAGCATTTTCACTTAGTCATTTAGACCTGTGTGACTTCTTTTTCTTGGAAAAGTGAAAGGTTGTGAGGTTTTAAAGGGCGTACATACGGGGCTTGTTTGGAAACAAGCAGTGGCTGTCGCTGCTTGTCCCTTCTGGTTTGGTTGGTTGGTTGGTTGGTTGGTTGGTTGGTTGGTTGGTTGGTTGGTTGGCAGGCTGGGTGGGTGGGTGGATAGGTGGCTGGCTGGCTGGGTAATTTGATAGCTCATTATGTAGCCCAGGATGGCCTGGAACTGTTGATATTCCTGCTTCAGCCTTGTGGGGGCTGAAATTCCAAGCATGGGCCTGGGTCATGTTAGTCTTTTTGGTTAGTAGGCTTTACCATTTCCTAATGTGGAAAACACCAGGACTTAACCCCAGGCTGATCAATATCACTATCTCTCTTTTCCGGAAAGAGGAAATTACTAGTTTTTGCACTCGTGTTTGATCTTTTCACAACATCAGTCATCTTTGAGTATATGCCATCTATCATCCATGTAGATTGTTTGGAAAACTTCCTGTTTACTCCGGCATGTTTCCCCGGTGGAGGATATGAGTGCCGTTATGTTGTTAACTTTATTAAGTAAACTTGGCCTGGTTCTCATAAACATCTCTGTTCTAATAATGCACTCTCACCCTAAAGGTGTGACTGTGTAACAGCTTTCCAGTATCTTGTGTGATATTTGGAGCCCTAAAATGCTTTTAGGGAGATGAGCAAATTTGGGCCTGTTTGTCTTGCTTGAAATCTTCTCAGCACTGTGTACCAGCTGCCAGTTCCTGTCTGCAGCCCATGTGCAGACACTATGCCGATATGTGTGGTGCTCACCTTGTTTTTGTGCTTCCTTTTGTCTTTCCTGAACAGAAACCAAAGCCTAAGCCCCGGCCATCCATCACAAAGGCAACCTGGGAGAGTAACTATTTTGGGGTGCCCTTAACAACCGTGGTGACTCCAGAGAAGCCGATCCCCATTTTTATTGAAAGGTGCATTGAGTACATTGAAGCCACAGGTAAGCATCCACCACAGCAGACAGCACCTCCCACTCCCCACAGGGAGCTTGCAGGAGAGCTGGCTTTGTGAGCTTTCTGGAAATCAGAGATGTTACCAGAGAAGGTGCTCTGACAGCTGCAGCCTCAGTCAAGAGGCTGACATGAGGCCTTGACTAGACCCGAGTGTGTGGGAGCAGATCTGTCCTCAACACGGAGCCGGCGTTAGCGTGCAGCCAGCTGTTCTGGCGTTGCCTGCTTGTTTGTGTGACCTCCTAGGTCTGGAAAGGGCTGGAGAGTAGGGAAGAGGGTTTTATATGGGACACATATTACATTTAATAATAGGAACAAGTATTTGATACTGTTATCATTCCTGGCATTCTGATCAGGTATCAGAGACTCTCAGGGTCTCTGCTCTGAGGTAAGAAAACAGTCACATTGCTTAGATATCTTGTGATCATGTAGGTGAGATACAACAAAGCAAAATTGCCTCAAGGTTTTCTGTTTTTGAGATAACAAAATTTTACTTCATTTTATTGACTTAGGCTCTGTATAGTCTCTTTGTTTTCCAGTCTTACACCATTGTTTCTCTCTACTTTCTCTTAACTGCTTTCAGGGACCTTTGAGGAGGTCCGTTAGCGGGCACTTATCACTGAATTCCCAAGCATTATTGGTTGAGCTTAAAAATGTAGAGTGTGGGCTGGAGAGATGGCTCAGAGGTTAAGAGCCCTGGTTGTTCTTTCAGAGGTCATGAGTTCAAATCCCAGCAACCACATGGTGTCTCACAACCATCTATAATGAGATCTGGTGCCCTCTGCTGACATGCAGGTATACAGGCAGACACAACATTGTATGCATAATAAATAAATAAATCTTTAATTAAAAAAAAATAAAAAAGAATGTAGGTTGTACACCTTAAATCTTGGCAGTTGGGAAGCAGTGGCAGGCAGGCCTCTGGGTTCCAATCAGAGCTACACAGAAAGACCCTGTATCAAAAGAGGCAGGGTAGCTAAGAGAGACCTTCTGGAGCCCTGATAAATCTTTCAGCGTATGGCCGTGCTTGGAGCAGAATCCCTGCTGAGTCATCTGTTCACCACTAGTCACTAGATCAATAACCACTAGTAACTGGCCTGCTTTGTGGAAGGGCCACAGGGCTCAGGGAGACCCAAGTGAGTGGCATAAATCTTGGTGCCCGGCCATACACGTGCTCCAAGAGTCCTAAATCTTGACAGGCCACTGTGGCTCTGGGTTGGTGCGTTTCATTTCTGCCCACAGAGGCACTGGCATCGTTTCTGCTCCTGTACCCAAGAAGCTACTGATGATGGCCAGTGTTGATGGCTACCTATCAGCCAGGGGCTGCACTGTTACCTGGGCAACCTTGTCGAGGCCACTTTTGATGCCATCTCCAAGACCTATAGCTACCTGACCCCTGACCTCTGGAAAGAGGCTGTGTTCACCAAGTCTCCTTACCAGGAATTCGCTGATCATCTTGTGAAAGCCCACACCAGAGTCTGTTCAGGAGACCCATCAGGCTGTAGCTGTGGCTATCGTATAAGGGTTTTTATACAAGAACAATAAAGCGAATTGAGTCTGTTTTGAAAGAAGAGTCCTGACCCCTGGTCTGAAGATCAGGCTGGCCTCCTTGTCTGCCTTCTCTTTACTAGGATCACAGTTGTGTGTCACCACAGTCCTGGCTTCCCCCCCCCCCCTTTTTTCTGTGGGTTTGCCAATTTGAAGGTAGTAAAGGCTGTTGAAAAGGGCTTCATACTACACTGGCACTGTCACCTCGGAGTATAAAAATATTACATATAAAATATTCACATAGAAAACTTTTATCTAGTGGCCTGGCAAGGTGGTTCAATGGTTAAGAGCACTGGCTGCTCTTCCAAAGGACCCAGGTTCAATTTCCAGCACCCACATGGTAGCTCACAACTGTCTGTACCGCCAGTTCCAAGGGATCTGGCACCACACTAATGCACATAAAAGTAAATTAAATAAATTATTTTTTAAAAATATTATCTACCTTTAAAAGCCCTTGGTGGCAAACCTACAACCCACAGTGTAAGGTAAAAACCACCTTCTAAAAATCCTTGACCTCCACACATGTCCCACAGTGTGTATGGACACAGGACACGCGCCTGTACACACACACATACACACTGATGATGCTGATGATGAAGATAATGATAAATAATTTTTGAAAGGAAACAGTATTTGGCAAGGGCTAGGGCACATCTTCATTGTTCAGGCACCTGCTCAGCATAAGTACTGGGTTCTACCTCCAGCACCAGAAAGAAAAACATCATTACCCTTGATTGTATTAATAATGTCATTTCATGTGTTATCCATGTTTGAATTTGCTGAGCTGACTTTAAACTACACAGGACCACTGCTTCCCCCTCAAGCAGGACACATCTGTGAGGTGAACTTGTGGGCTCTGTAGGCTTGAGTCGTGTTATTGGATGAATTGTATTTCGTCAGCTTGAACTTTTCAGTAAAGTGTGTGCTGTCACTGGCCTCTCTCCCGCTCGTCCCCATGAAAGGAATAACCATGTAACTTCACAGTTTCACAGGGTGTCCAGGCAAGCCCTCCCAGACCAACAGCAACAACATCCTTCCTGTCAGAGCAGACCAACATCAGAAGAATCCATGCCCAGTTCTTTCTTGTCCCCAGTTCATCTGTCCCCATCATCTTGGCACATGGCTCTGGCAGATGAAACAAACACTGCACCTTGCATTTCAGAGGCAGGCTTGAGAGGTCAGGCGGGCATGATGCTTCCTCCCACCCATCTCTCAGCCCAAACAGTGCGCCATGCAGGAGCACAGACCGCAGAGGGGAGCGTGTGGTGGGAGGAGGACCCAACAGTCTGTAAAAGGGCACAGCTTCAGCCATACCAGCACCTTTAACAGTTGTGGGGGATGGGGGTTTGTTGTTTGTTTGTTTTTGAGGTAGGGTTTTATCCTCCGTGAGGATGAACCTGTGAATTCTTCATCCTTCTGCCTCCACCTTTCATGGCTTTCTCATGTGAAAACTGCCATTCCTGCTGTTTTATTTATAACCCAACTTCTGTTGAAGTTCTTCCGGAGTAGGTGAACACTGGGACATAGGTGCAGATTGATTCTGGTTTGTTCTTGTTCTTTTCATGACCAGTTTCTGTCCCTTTGTCTCATGTTGCATGGAGTTTCATTGTGCTGAGGCAGGGGCCAGCAGTTGGAGCTCCCAGGTTCATGTGCAGATGCTGTTAGGCAGCTGTGGGGTCAGCCTCTGTGCCTGCTGTGCTAATCGAGTGTTAGACTCTTCACCCCCTCAGCTCCAGTTACATGGAAAGGCTTCAAGAGAGCATGTTACCACCACAGCTGCTCTGGGACCTCCCGAGAGTCGCTGTAGTGGGGAACCCGGGGCCTGTCTTTCTGTCATATGCTCGTCCTGGCCTTCGGTTTTCATTTACGTGGAAAATTGGTTGAGGCCATAGAGTACTGCTCCCTTGTGGAGCAGTGTGACTCCTAAGTAACAGAGGATACTAGCCAGTTAATTGAGGTCCCTGCTTCATGACAGGAAGTAGGAGCATTGAGTTCTGTATTGAGTGTCTGGTAGTAGGCTAAGCGGTCACCTTAGAACCTCACTGTTCTGAAAATACCTGCTCAGAAAAAGGTTTACTTTGGAATTGCCCTTGGTGCTTAAATAACTCCCAAAGCCTAGTTCTCCAGCCAGACTGAATCAAGGTTTCCTGTGGTTTGGGAAATGACCATGCTCTACTATTAGAGGACCTTCTGAGGGAGCGTTCAGGGTCCCTTACTCATCAATGTGTCCCAGATGCTCAGCGCCTGACACGTCCCAAAGCAGTTGTTCCTAATGTGACACAGTCTCATCTGTAGCTTCTTAACATAGAAAAGTGTGTAAGACCAAACGTGGCTGTGACTTCTGACCTTGTTCTCTGACAGCGGGCAGGGATAGAGTGATGCTCAGTGATTGCCCATCTGCTATTTCTTTCTTAATTGCTTTGCTTTCTGAGAGGTCCCTAGCCCTGTAGCAAGCATGGCAGGCAGCCATGGTGGGGAAAAATGAAGTGGCTTCATGGGCAGAAGGTACCTGTCTGAAGTACTCAGACCTTTCTGTGTACATAACTGGTGTACATGCCTCAAATCTGAGGTTACATTTTTTAAAAGACTTTATTTTTACATATGTGGCTGTTTGCTTGCATGTGTGTCTGCACTGTGTGTACAGGGCCTGTGGATGCCAGAAGAGGGTGTCTGAATCCTGGAACTGGACAGTTAGGAACTACCTTGTGAGTTCTGGGAATTGAACCTGGGTCCTCAGGAAGAGCCGGAAGAGCAGTGACTACTTAACCACTGAGCCATCTCTGTAGCCTCCTATTGGTACACTTTAATTTTAGTTAGTTACCATGGATATAAAAAGCCCCTGAAGTCAAGGAAGTCTGGCAGCTGCCAAATAATGCCAAAAATGGCTAGTCATCAGCCCACTTCCTAATCAGTGCATGTTTGTGGCTGTTGGTGTAAGCTGTCATTATTTAGGACCTGTGTGTCTGTGTCTGTTTGTGTTTCGTGATGGCTTGTTCTATTTGAAAAACCCAGGTGTGGTGGTCAGGTAGCCCTTTGGATGGGGAGGGACATCTTAACCCTTCATTCCTTTCTGGGAGGGCCTTGCTGTTATCACAGTACAGGGTTAGCCTTACTGGTAAGAAGATGGTAGCGTGTGCCATCCTCTGACATCAGGAGCAGTGCCACATGCCCCTTGAGAAAGCCTCACATCTCTAAGAGGCCGCCCCTAGTCGGGTGCACTGTTGCACCGGAAGTCCACTGATTTGTAAAAGTTCTTGTGGACCAAGTATGGTGGTGACACTTAAGCACTCTGGCGGCAGAGGCAGATGAGCTCTGTGAGTTTAAGACTAGCCTGGTCTACATAGTGAGTTCCCGGCCAGCCAAAGCTACATTCTGAAGGCCTGTCTCAAAAAAAAAATGAATTGGAAAAACAAAAACAAAACTTGTGGGAAGGCCTAGCGTG